GGGAAGGACATGATGGCTTCTTTAGTAATAGCCCTGGCCCTGAGTGGAAACTGCAGGGAAAGCAGCCTTGCTCAGATGAAATGGAATCTACTGTAATGACAAGGATACAACTAGCTGTCAGTGACTGAGGCATGGTGCTAAACATGTGGCATTCTTCCAGCAGCCTCTTGACTCTCCCCATTTTCCAGATAAAGAGGCCCAGGATCCTCAAGTAACTTGCTCAAGGCACACATCTCTTACCCGCCTGAGCCCATGCATTTAAGCTCCATTAACCTCTACTGTATGCTTCTGTGATCTTTTAATCTTAATGGCACAGAATCCTTTCCATCAAAATAATTTTTTGTTTGTTTGTTTTTTGTTTTAGACAGGCTTTCCCTATGCATTTCAGGCTGGCCTTGAACTCAAACTGATCCTCCTGCCTCAGCCTCCCAAGTGCTGGGATTACAGGCATGTGCCACCCCACCCCCAGGAGAAAATGATTTTCTTCAGAAAGCAAGTCTCTGGATCACTGTGCTGCTCCTCCTTTTCCCTCAGCCCCAGGGGAGCAAACTTGTCCCAGAGCATAGCCTCTTTCTGGGCTTTTCCCCGCTGCACATTTGGTCCCAGGTTAGGGCTGACCTCTTTACACCTGGAGGGGCCAGGTTAAAGACCAGCAGAAGGAGGTAGGCAGCTTGAGGGCCTCTGCCGGCCAATTGGAAGTGACTGGCTGGGTTCTGAGCTCACATCATCTGCTCCTGCTAAGACAATCATCAACATGAAAGGCTAATTGTATTAATCACCAAGGCACCCATCCCAAGTCCCCCTCCCTTTGGGGAGAATTATGAATTGCGATTGCAGATGGCTCCACTGATTGAAGGCAGTGCTCAGCAGGGAGAAGGGCCAGATCAGATTACACACCATTAATTAAAAACTTCCCCTGACAAAGGGGAGGATGAGAATGCACACCACCGGGCTGCCTGGTTGGGGCTCTGTCCTCCCGGGTGGGGGTGGGGCGCTCCCCGCCAGGCCCAGGGGCTGTGGCAGTGAACCTGCTTCCCCAGCCGGAACTGCTGAGATTCTGCTCGCAAGGGCCAGACTGTCCATCATCCAAACAGATGGCCCGCTGTCCTATTAAAGGGCTCCAGAGGAGAAGCTAACCTTTGGTCACTTACTTCAGCGGCTAACCTTCGATGCTCTTCAGCCTCTAACCCAATTCCGCACTCAGGAAGCTGAGCTCTAGCTCTGGTCTATCCTGACCCTGGAGAACCATCCATGAAAACAGCCCCCACCTGTCACTTCAGGAAACACCTTCGGCCTGTGAGTTCTGGGACAGAGGTCACAAAAGGCTGCTCCGGAGCGGTGGGTGGAGACACACATGTCTGGCCAGGGCCCTCTTTCCACTCCTGCCTGCAAGCAGAGGCTTCTCAGCTGCTGTCATTTTGGCTCATTTGGAGCTGTAACTCTTGAATTTTCCTCCTCTTGATCAATTACTGCCTCTCGTCCCTCCCCAGATGCCCAGCCTCAGTCATTCATTCATCAAACTTTTATTGAGCACTCAGTGTGTGCTTGGCTCTGGGGACGCAGAGGTAATTTGTCAAGGAGCTCAGGAGCCCACTGCAGGAACTCACCACCCCTCCAGCCCTGTCTCCGTCCTCTGCTGCAGCTCCTGAAAGCCCCCTTAGAGCCCTGTTTTGGAAAATTCTTAGCTAGGAGCTGGGGAGAGTTTAGGGGTCTGTATGACTGTGCTGGGTGTCCTCCAGCAAGTCACTCACATCCTCTGTCCACACACACACACACACACACACACGCATGCACACACACGTGCACACAACTGTCCCTGCACACAAAAGGGCACAGGAAGCCCTGGGCTCTTGAGAGATCACAAAGATGGCTGATTGGGACCCAGCGTGGAGAGATGTGAGAAGCGCCTGACACCGACTACAGTAGAGAATGTTCAGTGACTGCTGAGGCCACCGGCACCAGGGACTCAGCCACTGCCCTGGTCACAGGCTGAGCCCATTATCCGATCCTTGGAAACCTTGGGCACCCACCCTCCAGCCCCTTGGGAGACGTCATGGAGAAGGACCTATCTTTTTTATGGATTTGGCTGCTGTTTCTCAGGGTACCATGGTGATGGGCACCATAGAGATGAGAGGAACTGACTTTTATTGGCTTGTCTCTTCCTTCCAGGTCCCACCCCCACCCCCACTCCCAGCAGACCCAAGAGAGAAGGAGGCAGGGCCCCTGTTAAAGTAAACATAACTAAAGACAGCAAATCTGGTTTTTCTCCCTCGATCTCCCTTCTCCCCTCCTCCCTCCCATTACCAACAGCAACTGTATTCAAACCCAGTAATTACAGTAACAGCAACAATAATCATCATTTATTGGGGGTTGTTTTTCTAGCATTTTAAGTCCCCAAAGCATTTTTTTGTTTTGTTTTGTTTTTCCGGTACTGGGAATCAAACTCATGACCTTGCACTTGCCAGGCAGGTGCTGTGCCGCTGAGCTAAATCCCCAGCCTCCTGAAAAGCATTTTCTAATCTCTTGTTTGCAGCAGTCCCGGAGGGAAGATTGTGCCCATTTTACAGCTGGGAAGCTGAGATCCAGATAGGACTCCAAATCATGGACAGAGTGATTACAGCAGCCTTTAAATTTTAATAAACCAGTTCAGACTCCTTAGTCCTTCAGAGGCTCTGAACCTTGAACTCGGTTTCCTGGGTCCTTCCCATGCTCCCCTTGCCCCTAGGTCTCGTTCCCCAGCTTCTCTAGGAAGCCCGTGATGCTGAGGAGGAGGCTGGAGAGGCTTCTGGCCCAGGCCAGGAGCTGAGAGCAGGGAGGGACTCCTGGGGTTGCTCCTGTTGTGGAGGGCCCGCCCTAAGACAAAGCTCCTTTCCTGTATCCTGCCCCTTTGCCAGCGGGGGAAAGTTCCCCTCTCTGAGCTCTTCTCAAGGGTGGGCACCCTGAGAGTGTTGAGGGGAGCGAGGGATGAGCAGCTCCATCCTTAGGCAGCCCCCAGGCTGATGGAACCACAGCCCTCAGGCCGCCCCCAGGGCAGAGAATCCCTCGGAGGAGTTCAGGGCCTATCCCCGATTCTTCTGGGAAGCGGGTCCCCCCTCTAAGGGCTCCCTAAGTTCCCCTGGTTAGAGTCCTAGAAAAATGGTTGCTGGGGCTTTAACTCCCTCTTCCCAAGACAAGGATCTGGAGGACCAGGACTCCCACTGGGTCTAGCCGGCGGGAGAAGGGGAGCGCATCATAAGGGCCCGGGTCCCCTCTGTGCTGTCCCCTTAGAAGACAAGAAAAGTCTAGGAAGAAGGAAACCAGACAGACTTGCTGTAAGATTTATTTTACCTATAATTGTAGAAGACAGGCACATGTGGTATGCCTATAACCCCACTACTCAGAAGGCTGAGGCAGAAGGGTGGTGAGCTTGAGGCCAGCCTGTACAACTTGGCAGTACTTTATCTCAGAATAAAAAAAGAAGTTAGATGTAGCTCAGTGGTGATGTACTTGCCTAGTGTGAGGCTCTAGATTCCATCCCCATTATCATTTTTAAAAAGAGGAAAGAAATGTAATGCCAGGGATAGGGACTGGCGCCCTCCCAACCCAGCCCACACTGTTAGAACAAGAAACCGAGCCTCCCGGTCCCCTCTCCCAGGCCCCTCACCGGAAAAGCCAGGAGTCCAGTCCTGCAGGCCGATGCCCACCCTCAGGGCTCCTGCCTGCACGGGCTATGCCGGCTCACACACTCACTTCTGTATCCCCCGAACTGGACTGGGAGTCTTTCTTCTCAGGCTCCACCTCCACCTCTGTGACTTTCTCCACCTCAGTGGTGCCCATGAGGATGGCCAGTCGCTGGGCCAGAGTCTTGGTGTCAGGGAACAGGATAAAGTTGTAGATCAGCGAAGCCAGGACAGCCCCTGTCAGGGGGCCTACCCAGAAGATCTGAGGAGACAGGAGGAGGCACCCAGCCATGGGGTGTCAGAATCGTAGAATGGCTTCGCGACCCTTGCCTACTTCCCTAGTGCTGACTTAGTTCCCAGGAACTTGAAAACTGCCTCCCAGATGGGAAGCTGAGAACCCCCTCCTGAGCCTCAAGATGAAGGGGCCTTGCCTTCGGTGCCACCAGGCCCCGGCCTGCAGCCCCGCAGGGCTCTCCTCACCATCTCCTGCCTTCTCTCTCACTTCCCACATTTGAGCCAAGCTCTGGCTCTTGCTGTTTCTGTCTCTGGTATGTGTGTCTATTTCTGTGTGTCTTTTTCCTTATTCAAGTTTGAAAATTGGTCCAGCTGGAGAAAGTGAAGAAAGAAACAGCCAGAACAGAACGCTTGGGCCGAGGCTGCAGCTTCTGCCCTGGCCCATTTCTCCCCAGTTCACTGGGTACCGTGGGATACTGGAGACGGAAAGAAAAGAAGTACAAGGCAGGATGCGCACGGGCCGTCTCAGTGTGAGGAAACCTCCGCTCCCGGGTCTCACGGCCTGCGCTGGGGCTTGTCTTCCCAAGATCTGTGGCCCCACGCTGGTGAACCCACTGGGTCTGGTGCCTCTGCCCAGGCCTCTCCCTTCCCCATGGCAGCCCACAGAGGGTCTCACCCAGTGCACTGTGAACTTGCCAATGATGACTGCAGGACCGAAGGAGCGGGCTGGATTCATGGAGCAGCCAGTGAAGTAGATCTGGGGAGCGAGCGCAGCGTCAGGGTGTGAAGCTTGAGCCAGGTGGGGGGGCGCAGCCCCTTCCTCTGGCTCACAGCCCTCGCTCCAGCCCACTTTACTGCCTAATATCTTGGGCCTGGAGTATGGGGCACTATCCCAAGGCCTGAGGAGCTCAGGAAAGACATCTGGTTGTTAGGGCCCCAAGAGTTCCCCAGGGAGGGCCCCAGTGTGCGCATGTGCCTGGTGTCCCCTTTGCCTCTTACCCCAATGAGGTGGCCCAGCGCCACGGAGGTCCCAATCATGGCGGCCGGGGAACCCAGTGTATGACGGCTGTCCGTGGAGGCAAAGACACAGAGCACCAGCTGCAGGGTCAGAACCAGCTCCACTGCCACTGCCTGGCCAGTCGAGGTGCTGTTCTGGACCTTGGCAGAGGGGGTTATGCGGGAGTGGACACGGGCTCTGCTGACGGTAGTGAACCCTGGGTTCCTATCACCCCAGGATTCTTGCTCCCCCCAAGAGTGCTCGGCTCCTCTCCGGCCCACTGGCTGACTGGGCTAGTGATTCAGGAGTGGACGCGGGAGCTCAGCCCTGGGAGGAGAGGAAAGGGTCAAGGTCCTGGGGATGTGGGTTTGAGGGAAGAATTCATGGAAAATGGCCAGCAGGAGTGGAAGCAAGAGATGTGGAGAAAGCAGCGGAGCAAAGATGAAGGGGGAGATGGAGAGGGGGAGTGAGCGGGCCTGGGGCACTTGGGAAGGGTGGGACCTGGGGCAATAGAGGAGCAGAGGACATGGGGTGCAGCTTGAGGAGGACCAGATGCCTGCAGGAGCCCCTTCCTCCCCCGCAGTTCCGCCTGTTCCTGGCTAACCCTGCCCTTAGACGCCCGGTCCTTCTCCCTCCGTGTGTTCCTCACACGCTCCTCTCCGCCCTGCCTAGGAAAAGCAGCCTGACTGCTCCGGGCCCAGCTGGGAGCAGGTGTGGAGCTCATGGCTGAACGGTCCTCTCCTGCGTCCCGCTCCTCAGGTCTCGCCCTCCACCCTTGCCCCTGATTGGACTCCTCCTCCTGGTCCCCACAGGTGCCCAAGCACAGGCCAGACGCCCCTCCTTGCACCTACCACGTTGATCCCGAGGGTCCCTCGGACGTCTCCTGGGGTGACCCCGTAGAGCAGAGCAGCCCCCACAGTGGCCCCTGCCAGCTGGGCAGCTATGTAGGCCACGGCCCGGGGCAGGGAGATGTGGGAGGCTACGAGGAAGGCCAGCGTCACCGCGGGGTTGGCGTGGGCCCCGCTGGTCTTCCAGGTGACCTGCACCGCCGTGGCCGTGGCCAGGTTGAAGGTGATGGCGACCTGCAGCACAGAGGGAAGTGCCGAGGGCCAGCGCAGGACGGAGCCCACGCCGAAGAACACGTACAGCCCCGTGGCCAGGAACTCAGCAAACAGTGCCTTGCTGACTGCCGTCCAAACCCGGCACAGCAGCGTGTTGGCCCCGCTCCACGGCCCCGGCTCCATGTCCTCGTGCCTGGTGCCTTGGCTGTCCCCTTCTTTCCTTGAGCGGCCTCCGCCTGTCCGCCCTGGTCTCTTGTCTCTGCCTAACTCTGGCCTCCAAGAGTGGAGGCCTCACCAACCCCACCTGCAGCTCTTCTACTGCGCTGCTGCCGAGGAAGGAGCTGGCCACACTGGACGACACTCGCCTGCTGGTGGGTTATGCACGTGGGGGTGGGCAGAGGGCACCCTGGGAGGGCTGGTGCTCACGTGCCTGCTTCCCCCTGAGCTCACCTGATGTGGAGGGCAGATAAGGCAGCGTCCTTGAGAGCTGAGCTAGAACCTCCCAGGAGGTTTTCCATGCCACAACCAAGACTGACTGAGCGGCCTGACTCCTGCAGCTCACAGCGGTTTCGCCCGAGGGCTGCTGGCACAGGGCAGACAGGACAAGATCCCTCAGACTCACGAGCCCAAGGCCTGCTTCGAGGGCTCCAGCTCTCCTGACCCGTCTCCAAGCTCTGCCTCCAAATAGGCCGAGCCTGTCCTGTACCCCATAAACTATGAAATTAAGCCCCCCGCTTGCATTTCCACCTAAAACTGTGAATGTCAGCTTTACGAAGGCCGCGATCGTGGGAGGGGGCGGAGGGGCCGGTGGAGCTGCTCACCCTGTGCCGGACGCTATACCTGGCACCAGGTACCGCTACTGTCCTCCTCAGGAACTCCCGCCAGCCCTTCTCCCCCTCTTCCTTCCCTTGCACCCCCTCTCGACCCCTCCCTCTGCTCACTTCCCTCTCAGCGCCCTCCAAATTCCTATTTGCTAAGTCGGGTAGCCTAACCATTTCTGTGGCTATGCTGGCCCTAACCCTTCCAGCATTACATCAAGGCATTTTGTCAAAGACCATGCCTTCCTAGGTGTGGTGGTGCACACCTGTGATCCCAGCTACTGGGGAGGCTGAGGCAGGAGGATCACAAGTTCAAGGCCAGCCTGGGCAATTTAATGAGACCATGTCTGAAAAAAAAAAGGGCTGTGATATAGTTGAGGGACAGAGCACTTAGCTAGCACGCATGGGTTCCATCCTTAATAATGAAAAAAAAAGTTTTCTTTCACGGAAAACCTGTGCAGAGCTGTTGAAATAATATCCACACCTGGGTGCCTTGACCTTGTCCCCGGTATTATCTACCTGCCATAGATGTCTGCTGGTTGTCCTCAGGTCCTCAAATACAATTTGTCTCAAAATGAGATCTTCGCCTCCCCCCGCTTCCTGCTTAGTGTGTAGCCCCTGGTGGTACCCAGGAGGCCCTTGACCCTGCCCCTCCCCTCATCCAGTGAAAGCACCATCCCTGCTGATTTCAGACCCTGCATGCGTCCCCGAGGTGCCCTCTTTTCGCCGCCCTGTAGCCTTAGTCAGTCTCTGCTCACCCTCTCCGCTCTAATCAATTCTCCACGCTGCAGCCCGAGTGATCTTTCCAAAATGCAAATCTGATCCTGCCGCTCCCCGCAGAGCCCCCCACCCCTCTGGAAGCCCTGCGCCTGGCTCACAAGCGCCGTGGGATCTGCTTCTCCGCCCCCTCCCGCCGCTCCTTTGCCTCTGGCCTGGCTGCTGGAGGAGGCCCTCACTCAGCTCGACGGCTCCCACCCGTCCCCAGGCTCAAGGGCTCCTCTCCCGGGGCAGGGCGCCTCTGCACAGTTTCCCACAGTCACCCGGGGGTCTCCGCAACAAGGCAGTGAACGCTCAGGGGGCAGGAGCCAGGTTTTGTTCACCTCTGCCCGCACTGTCTGGCATAGAAAGACCATAGCAGGTGCTCAAAAAAAATAACTATTGAATAAGCGAATGAAAGAAAGTCTGACCTCCTGGAGGCAGACGACTGTCATAGTGCCGCGCCTACAGCCTGGGACCTGTCCTGCCCTGCGACCAAGCCCTCCCACAGCCCCGAGGGGAGCATCCTCTCTACACCAGAGGCTCTGCCATCTGCCACCCCGCCTCATGCCAGGAGAATCCCTCGCCCACCCCCTGTTCTTCCAGCCATCTTGGCTTCATGCTTCTCTCTCCAGAGCAGCCCTTGGCTTCTCAGCCTCTGCACGCTCTGGCCAGTGCCCGTTCTAGCTGCGCTCCGCACCCTGCCCCAGCTGCAGGCCGTTGTCATCCTCCTCCACACGGCTCGGCCCATCTGCGCTGTCTGCCCGGAGCGCCCAGCCAGCCTGGCCAAGTGCGGCCACAGCCCGCGGTCTCTGGCCTCTGCCCAGCGATCTTCCCGCCGTCCCCAGTCACCTCTGTCCTCCACTCTTCTTCAGACCTCTCCCGTCCTCCTGAAACACCCTGCTCCCTGGCTCTCAGGTAGCAGAGTGCAACCCAGAAAGCCCCTGGCAGGAGGCAGGCCTCGCCCGGGCCCTCTCAGCCCTCTCTGTCCGGCCTGCCGGGTGCTTGTACTGCTCCCCCTTCCACTCCGCCTAAGCAGTCTGCTCTTGACTCTTCTCCCTCCTGATGTGACAGTCGTGTGTCGGTGGCCTCCACCCCCACAGACCGGACCTGGCCTCTGAGCCCCAGCCTCTTTCCTGGACTCCAGGCCTTGCAGACCGGGACCCTCAGGCTGCCCTCCTTGTCCTCCCCTGGTTCGGGTGAGCAGGGTCCTGCTTGCTGGGCGGGTCTGGGGCAAAGCAGCACCTGCAGTCCCCGTCTCGGCAGTGGGTGCAGGGGCGGCCCTCTCCCGGGTACGCCTGGCACAGAGCCTCCTTCGGGCCCTACCTGGCCTGGGACAAAGTTCTTCACCCCCCGAGGGCAGGAGGCCACTGACCAGGGCTTGCTCCAGCTCTGGCTTGGCCTACTCCAGCCGGCACCTCGCCGGCCCCAGCCAGTTCTGGGCCCTGGAGCCCGGCTTCGAGCTCACCCGTGCTCGGAGGCCTTTGCAGGGCCCACACCTGGCTGCCTGGGGCTGCCTGGCAGCCTGACATCGGCCGGCCCGCTCGGCTTGGGCACCGTGGGGCAAGAGGGAAGGAGCAAGGAGGAAGGGACCGGAGAGGCGGTGAGGAGATGCAACAGGCCAGGGAGGGAAGGAGCTCAAGACGCTTCCGATCCGTGTAAAACGGGGCAGGCTTCGCAGTCCGACGTCCTCACCCGCGGCCAGCAGGAGGGGAGCTGAGCCGCGGAGAGCAGAGGAAGCAATGTCAGCGGCCTCCGACCCCGTCCGTTCACCCGGTCAGCTGGGCTCACCTTCCCGTCTCCTTCCCTCGCTCCACCATGGCGCCTTCCACGGAGCAGTGCCCGGCAGGGGAGGCGCGGGGCGGGAGCGGGGCGGGCGCCTCCTACCGGAGGACCTGGGCCCTTGCCGCGTAGTGTGCGGGTGCGGCAGGGGCG